GGGACTCGCAATACTGAAATGGTTAAGTTAAAAGTGATCCGCACCGGTGGATTCAATCATTTGTGGTCGATCAATGATGTGTTAACCCTTAGAATACGAGACAATTAGGTCAAAAATAATGCATATCGTTGAAATCAAACTTTTTTTTCTGAATCTTTCGTTCATAAATGCTAAGATTTTTGCCAATTTTGAGGTTATAATTAAAAGTTAGGTTATAATTATAGGTTATAATTAAACAAGCATTAGCAAAGAAATATTGTATATTTAAAATTGTTAAATTTAAATATTCGTGGAAAAACAAACATAAAAGTTGACTTGAATTTTATCCCATTTTCTAATATTATATCTTAATACTTATGAATTGAGGACACGTATAAAACACATCTATCCGCATTTCCAAACCATACATCTGTAACTAATCTTTCCAGATCGCGACGCAAGATTTATGTGACATCGAACGCTTTCGAATTACTTGCGGAATAAAATACACGCGAGTACATATATCTTCGTGGCGTATCGTTCGACCGTGCCCCGTTCGAAACGATACGCAATCGTGTAAGTATTTTTATCTCGGGGCCATTATTTCGCGTTCTTAAACATCCATAAATACCCAGACCACTTTACACCCAGGTAAGAGAGCGGATCGTTGTTTTCCAGGCAGGGAAAAGGTGCGCGTTGTTGAATCAACCTGTTCGCGACGAGCCGGGGCATGGGATTTTCACGGAGGAGCAGAACGCGGCTCGAGTCCTCTTAACGAAGTTGCTGGGGGATAGGGACGATACGGGGAGCGACACCACATTCATGGTACGCGTGCATGCGAGAAAACGAGAGCGTGCTTACTCGGGGCTTGTAGACTCGAGAGAAGAGAGAAAGGAATGCGTGCGGAGGATTCTCTCAGGTTGAGGAGTAGGGGGGTGGGAAGGAAAAAAAAGTAAAAGAAATGAGATGGTGGTAGGGGATAAAGAGAAAGTTAAAGAAATTGTAAACATGCAGGAAAGGAA